ATATATATATATATATATATATATATATATGATTTCTTATATATATGTTTTGGCAAAAACATCTTGTGAAACAGAAATTCTTCCAAATCTATTTTAGAGTAATAGTGTCCTAAATTATATTATGGTAATATCATCACCAAAATGGATATATGTCAGATCATTTTTAGTAGAACTCAGTATGGTACGAAATTTTCTGCTTTTGTATGTTCCACAATTGTTGGCACAATTGGCACTCTTTATCAACCCCTATAAATAATTTTTTAAAATGTCAGTCTTTAGATCCGAACATTTCAACATTAGTGATTGTCCTTCTGAACTGGAAAAGAATGTTTCATCATTCTGTACATCCGAAAGGGACAAACATAGCCTTAAAACATGTTGACCTAAGAATATTCCTTATAGGTGATTGATCCTCTTTATCTGATACTCAGTAGATGACCCTTGCTTTGTTTATAATGAAGCAGATATTGCATGAGAGTGAGAACAAGACTGGGAGAACATGAAAATAAGAGAGATGCATTCCAAAGTTATGCCCTCTTATAGCTCCATTATGATGACTTGACAAATTAATTGAATCAGCTCAGTGTAGAATTAGCCAAATAGCATGTAGAATATTTTGTACTTCATTGAATCAACAGGTCGTGTGGCTAGGTTGATTGAAATTCATTGGTTGATTTGGTGTACCATATTCTGAAAGTTCTCCTTGACCATGGGGGTAAAGGCCTGCACAAACCATAAAATTTCGTAGCTCAATGTTTCAAGATTTTGTTATGGATTATAACATACTGTATGAAAGATAACAGGAGATAGTCACGTAGTTTACCTAGGCATTTAAAATATTTCCACATAAGATGCCCAAGGCAATGGCATTAGGATGAGCAGAGATTTTATAGTATATAGAAATCATTTTAATACTTTTCAGATTGTGTACACCCATCAGCCTAAGCAGGAACTTGCACTTGCATCTTGGATACTCAATGGTGCACAGGAAGACTTTATTTTAAATTTTTTAAAGTAAGCCATTGGGACAAATATGCAGTTTTTAGATGCAACCACTGGAGGGTGTTTGATTTAAATCCTTCCTTCCTGCAAGAGGAAATTCATGTTCTCTGAATTCCGATTTGCGAGTGTAACCTGCAGAGGTTCTTAAAAAGGCCCTTTGATAATTTTTCTTTTCCATCAACATTTCAGAGCTAGCTGAGCAGTCACCATGTCACGATTAATGAGTTTTTCCTTGGCATTTTTAGCACACATTCAGGAAGTCGATGAAGTATATGAATAATATACTTGATTTACACATGAATGACAGAGTAGAACATTTTGGACTTGGTGTTATGTGTGTTATTAAAGAAGCTTCTGTGGTCTGTATTTGCAGCCATTGGTACAGAGTTAACAGGTTATGCTATATAAATATAGACACATTCCTGTGGGAAAAAAAAAAAAGCTAGTTACGATATTATAAGCTATGTTTGTCCCTCACATCTCATTTAAAACATGTTGACCTAAGACTACTCCTTCCTCCAGAAACTAGCAATGAGGCCTTTGAGGACTATAAAAGCAGACTTCATGAGATCATTAATCATTCATGACAATGAATTTCTATGAATCAAATTAACAAAGTATATGACACAAACCCACTTATATTTAATGTCTTCAATTTCATGTACCTACAGTTTCTTTTGTGCACTCTTATGGTGTTCCAACCGAACTTTGTCAACACATACCCTTTCCAATGCGCACACAGTTTCAAAAGTACTTGAAACACTTACACTCTCTTTTTCTTAACTTCTTAGAAAGCTTAGGAACAAAGGCATCACTTCTGAAAATGAACTGAATATATCTGTACCTTTCCCACATGCCCTACCAGGAAAATGTTGTTTGTTGTTCTCTATGAACCAGCAGAGATGGGGAGATTTGATGCAAATATTTTTTTTTTCCTAAATGCTAAGACTAACTGTTCATGTCTGGACATTATTTTCCTGGCAATGATTACCTTTCCATTCTTGAGCCTGTAGCTAGGAT